AAACACAGCATTTCCAGACATGCAGCTATGCACTGCCCCCCCCCCCGGGCCCCCCTTCTCAGTGGCCCCATCTCGCCCTGACTGAGCTGCAGGCACCATCTCTATTTACCCTCAAAGGCAACAGGGTTGGGTTTGCTCAAATTCAGGCATCCCTTTAGAAAGGCATTAAAAGCTGCAGGCTCTCTCTAAAGAACCAGCTCCTGGACAACTTCGGCCGAGTGGCGTGGCAAGAGCGGGTGTCGCCTGGGACAAGAGTGCTGAACCAGGGTCCCACAGATCTGGGGTCTGGGCTCTAGTCCCTGCTCAGCTACCGGGCTTACTGAGTGACTTTGGGCTTAGACTCTCAGGCCAGCTTACCTCACGGGGGAGGATGAAGTGGAGGGATGAGACCCTTGCAAGACACTTCAGGGTTTTTGCAAGAGGAGGAAAGGCAGCATTTGAATATAATGAAGCAATATTGCTGCCAAATTCTTTACTGGTTCTACGCTTGTGCCCTTAGCTAGGTGAAGCTCACCTGACTAGCCCTCTCGATGCCAGGAAATGGTCAAGCTGTAAAATAGCTGAATGTCAGGCTGTTAATGTTACAGAAGCAAGACCAATCTAAGAGAAAAAGGTGACAACCCTACGGAAGTTAAAAGCTCTCCTCTCCCCTGCCTCCAAAATGTACTTTGCCCCTCCTGTTACTGTAAATCGGAGGTTACAAAACTGTTGGCCTTGATTTTGAGTCATTCAGAAGCCAGTTCAGAAAGCTGTCAGAGAGGTTGTGGTCTCATTGTGTTCTAGAGACTGAAACATGAATCTTAACTGAAAATAACGAAAAATGAAAGGTATAATTTGCAAGTGAAGAACTCTGTTCTACAAAATTCCGGCTTGCTTCCCCATTCATGAGCTGCTGGATCATGGAGGCCAGACAACCGGGCAAGGCGGGGAAGCTGCAACTTCATCCTTCACTGCACAGCCCTCATTGAGCAGGGCGCTGGACTAGATGACCTCCAAGGCCCCTACTGCTCTATGAGTCTATATCTCATCAGAGAATAGACCTCGGTTTCAACACTCTCGGGTTGCCAGCTGGCTTGGAAGTGTGAGTTTGTGTCCCAGCTCGGCCCTGATTCAGAGACATTCACAAGCCAAGCCTGCAACCTTCAGCTCAGAAGCCTAACTCAATGCACAAGCAGGAATCCTATGACTTGAGAGCAGGCCCCATTGAGCTCACTCTCACTCGTCCACGTAACCACGTTTATGATCTAACTGCCAGTTCATGAGACGTCTCAGTCAGTTCAGCTTATACTCCTCCGACTTGCCAATGAGCCTCCGCTGTGGGTCCGCTGGGGCGCGTTCTCCCTCAGTCCCCCGCCCCTGTAGTCCTGAAACATTCCGCCTTCGGGAAACCCCTGTTCACACCAACTTGTCTACCCAAGAAAGAACCACGGCGTCAAATACTGCAAAGGGATTTGGGACGCTGAAAGCGCGTTTGCAGACCGTGCAAGCTGCTGCCCCACCTAGAGGGCTCGCTGTGAGAATCTGGCCTGGAAGACCCCGTGAGCCGCGCAGGGCACAAAGCGTAACGGGGAGCAAGCTGGCTCGAGGGAGGCCGGCCTGCTACTGCAAACTCTGAGCAGGTAAGGAGAGCCGGAAAAGCAGGCCCTGAGGTCACCCCATTCAGTCGCCTACCCAGAAGCAGGCCACAGAGACGATAGGCCAGCGGCAGAGCCTGGCATGCGGTCGGCCCCGGGTTCAGTCTGAGGGTCCTCCAGAGAGCCTGGGAAACTCCTGCCAGAAACTCAGCCAAGCAGCTGCCTGTCAGAGTTGACGCAAGCGAGCTGGAGTCCTGATCCGACTCTGCCGGAGGCGGCCTCCACCGTTCCCGCTACCGCGTGCTGATCCGCTGCTACTGCAGGCAGCCTGCATTGAAGCAAGGCGGTTTTAGCCAGCTATCGCAGATGACAAGCGCATCGCAGGAGCCCTGTGGCCTGAGACCCAGCATCTGCCTGGCCCAGAATCCGGTTTCCCCGCGGTGGCCAGCCAGAGGCCTCCAAAAGGCACATCAGCAATCTCGCTGCTGCTGCTGCTGGCCGGCTCCCAGGCCTCTCAGCTTGGAGGCCGCGTACGAGACAGGGGTCCCCCCGGCCCTTCCCGCTCTGCCCGCTGCATTGCCTCTGCCCCCAGCGCTCTGCTCTTCCTGAATTCTGCTTTGCACAGTCAAGTCTGGAATCGACACCTGTACATTTTGCGGCAGCTTCTGTACAGCTTGTCAGCGTCTTTGGATCTTGTTCCCTCCCCGCTCCATGTTACTAATGCGCATGCGCACACTGAAAAATCCTGCAGGAGCACAGGGTCAGTTCCGATGCAGGTGTGTGCACAATTGTGCTCAGATTCCGGCCATGCAATGCTTGAGTAAGGTGTACATACGCCCCTGCACATCAATAACATTCCCTGTACGTGGACATCGAATGAGATTGCTTCTGTGTCGTGCGCCTGTTTTCAGTGCACGCATCCATATGCAAGCGGTGGTAAAACACTGCGTAAAAGGCATCTGGATGTAAATGTACCCATGCACACAATGTTTGGCAGTACTTAGATGCACATCATTAATGTAAGAACATAGATAAGATACAAATGAATGGAAGGAACAGACAGGTGTGGCAGCAAAACACACATGCATAGCAGACGTTACAAAATTCGAAAACGCAACGACGGAAGATTCCTAATGTAATAGAATCTTCATGCACAAATTCCAATGCCTGCTTTGGTTCACTTTGAAAACAAGATAAGCTTTATGGTAAGGAACCACAAAAACCAGGGGAAATTTAGATGAGGAAAAATTTAGAAGCTTCATAGTTTCCTATTGGCTTCCTCAGTGAGGAATCCCACAAAGCTTCCAAGGAACTATAGGATTCCTAGAAAAAAAACACCTTTCTAGCTGACAGGAATGAGAGGGCTCTATCTCTTTATACCAAGAGGCAAACACAGTCAATAATTTAAAAACAATTTGCAATTGAAAACATTCATAGGCTATCATTAGCAAGGATGCTCCTGGGACCACGCTGCAATCTTTCCCTGGATCAACAAATGACTTCCAGCAATGCGAATGTTTGTTCTTCTAACTTCTTAAAGAATCTAACCCAGGGGCTTCTGAAATTAGATCAGGCATCTCCATGGCTCAGATGACCACCTCCATACGGACTGTTCTGTTTTTCAGCCTCGTGGAAAAAATGAAAGGAGCCCACGTAAGACTGACATGCAGGACCATCTTATACATATTCATAAGAAGTCTCACTGTGTTCAGTAGGCTTGCTCCCAGGTAAGGGTTTATTATAGCATTGCAGCGTAACTGACGCGGCAATAAGGCTCAGCAGAACAGGACGAGGCAGGATGACGATTTTCGGAACTGTTGCTAATTTTCCAGAACATCATCCCTGTTCGTTTGCCCGCCTGCTTTTCCACTGCGCCTTCTCTACAGCCACCAGCCTCCTTTCTGCAGATGCTACAGCCCGGGATGGAGAATGTGCGCCTTCACCACTGGCTAAGCTAACTCTGGCTGGCAGGAGCTCCACAAGTTGCCCAGCTGTACGATAAAGGATGATATCCGAGAGTCATAGAAACACAGAAACAGAGCGAGTCAGAAGGGGCCTCCCGGGCCATCCAGTCTGACCCCCGGCTCCAGCCGGCTCCGCTCATGACATGCCCGCCATGAGCATGTCCAAACTCTCAAAAAATGGCAGTATGCTTAACATTGTTAGACTACCTTGGATTTCACACCAAGTACAATCTTTACTCCTTTTATTCATGAGTGGCTTTGGATACAAAATGTAACCCATCTGGGTTCTCAGAGATGTGTAGAAGAGCATGAAAATATTTCTTCAAAGATAGAGTTTATTGCTAAAAATGTTTTGATCAGTCATGGTTGATATGTACACTGATATGTTGTAAAAGGAATATTCAAGTAAACATTTTCAATATTTTTCTGGCATAATCTCTAGCTTTTTTCCCCTTCCTATACACAAACATTAAAAATAAATAAACTGTACACAAGAAATTTCTTTTAACATCTCTACATTACTATAGGTTTTCCAAAACAAAACAAAAAACCCACTCTTTCATAACATCATATATTTAAAAAAACCAAAAAGCCTCCTTAATCAATATACATATTTTTTCTTTAAAAAAAACTAGACAACTTTGAAAATTAGTCTGAAAATTGGTGACATAGTCAGAAAGAAAGAAGTGTACAGGAAACAGAAATTAAAGATCTTTATAGGATTCATGGGGTTCAGTATCATAAACCATCTTTATAGGAAAAATATACCCTTCCTATGTACTGAAAGAAAGTGTTCTATTTAGAAAGGGTTCGGTTCAACATGTGGTCCTGCATCTTCACCAATTTATTATTAATAATAACAATAATAAAAATAACCAACAACAACAAACACAGCTGAATTTTTCCCCTTTTAAATTCTCTATATTTACAAAAGATGGTCTTTTTTCTTTTGTTAGAATGCTATATACGTATAAAAATAAACATCTTATTGTAGTGCTTAACTTTTCTCTGGCCTGCACTGCAGTTCCATTCAGGTTTTGCTCTTCCCGTTCCAAATAAAATAAAATAATTAAAAAAATACAGTGCAAGGGGCTGCTGGGGGAAAAACAGGAGGACAGAGAACTGGATAAGCGAGGTCTCGTGTGGAGGGGTGTCAACACAGGTGTCCATCTCTGCCATCTTGGAAGAGCCGGGTTCCCCACTGGACCACCAAGTTGTTGATTCAAGCATCTGAGCCATGCTCAGAGCTTGCCAAGTGTGGGGCATGTGCCGCATCCTGCATCAAGATCGTTAGAGCTTCCCAGGGTGGGGACCCTGCGAAGCTGACAGAACACTCCACCCATCTCAAGATGCTGGGGTGGTTTCCGGGAGAGATCTCGCCGAGCTGGTCTTCACGGCCACATCGATGATGCACGCATGGGAACAGTGAGGTCTCTTGGCTCCTGGGTACCAAAAGATGGGGCTAGCAGGAACATTTACACTCCGAGATAACCGGGTACTGTACAGGGATCCAGGTGCAATACTTCTGCCTTGACCACCCTTGGCAGTACCACCTCAGGAAGGTCTTGGTGACGGACTTGACTGGCTTACAGTACATGCCCTCAGGGAAGGAGCAGGACCGCTCGGCAAAGCAGCGCCCTTCCTTGATGTAGCGCGGCCAGAACCTGCTCCCCAGATCCTTCCAGGCGTACAGCACCGGGCAGTAAGTGTACGCCCAGAGCCACTGCAGGAACTTCCTCCGGGCCTTCTTGCCCATCCTGAGCTTGGTCCCATAGGGCGTCTCGCCGAGGTCCAGCTTCTTCAGCTCACTGGGCAGGGGTCCCAACCCCTTGAACCGGTGCAGAGGGTCAGAGCTGGAGAGATTCCCCTGGGCTGGAGCGAGCACGGACATGAAATTGGGGTCGAAGTTGCTCCCCAGCTTCTTACGCAAAGTCCGATCGTCCAGGTCCTGCTCCTTGGGGTCGTACTCCGGGTCCGGATGCTCAATGATGTCCTTGACGGGCAGGTTGTCGCTAGGGGAGGGCCTGAGCCGGAGGTACGGCTGGAGGGAGCCGGGCTGGACGAGCACTGCCAGCGAGGAGCAGAGCAGGAGAGCCTGCAGCGCCTTCATGCTCCCCTCGTCCTGAGCGCTGACACTTGCAGACAGTTCTCCCAGCCCCCCCCCAGAACAGCCACGCACTGCAGAGGACTCACTTGCCCCCCCCCTCGTGCCGATTGTTCCAAAGCTCCAAGTTAATACTCCACAGTCCGACTTGCCAAGCTCAAGGGATTCATAAATAGGCTGAAACAAAGTCCAACAAGGCCTCTTGCTTTAAATAGATCGCCAAGGGGTTAGATGACAGACGCATGTAAGGTCCCCTCCCTGCCACTAGATGAGCAGGGTGAAAAGCGAGGGGGGGGGCAGGCAGGAAGAAAGAGGGGTGGGTGGCAGGGAAGCCGGTGGGCCCCTCTTTCCAAACAAGCTTCCCAAAGGGCAACCAAATTCTTTTCTTCTTTTTGCTCTTGGTAATTCTCCCTCTTCTCTCTCTCTCGCTCGCTCGCTCGCGCTCTCTCCCAAAAATTCACAGCGAACGAGTCTCCATCCCCATGGTGACAGCTGGACTTAGACCCACGACAACATGTCTAGACGGTGTGACAGGGTTTGGCGTGAGACTGGAGCCCAAGAATAAAACCCTCTTTTATAGATGGGGGAACTGTGAAAAGGGGGAACGAGTTGGCTGCAGTAAAGCGGGGAGGCTGGAGGTGGGGAAGGAGAAGTTAAAAAGAGTGGGGAAGAAAAAACAAGTCTCAAGAAACAGGTTCAGCGGGGGGGGGGCTCCACGTTTTCCTGCCTTCCCCCCTTTTTAATCAGGCCGATGAGTATCGAAGTGCAGCAGACGCCCGGCTCTCCTTTTCTCCTTAATCCCTCAAACGGCTGAAGATCCCCAAAGAGGCTGCCAAGCGGGTCCAAGGGAACTTCTCTTCATCGTGAGGTGCTCTTATAGGGCGCTATCGGGGGTGGGGAGAAGAGAGGGGGCGGAGATCGTGGTGCCCCGCGTCGGAGGACAGGAACGTCTGCACCCAGCCAAGGCGCAGGTCTAGCGGCCCCCCAAGCCGATCTCCGGGGCCATCCTCCCCGCCACTCGGAGGCGCGGGGACCCGCTGGAACCGGGCGCGACTCGCCAAAGGACGACACTCAAACTGCGCGCCGCCTAGCAGCTCCTCTGCGCGGCGAGTCCGGGGTGAGCGAACGTGGGAACACGAGGGCTGGGAGGCTGCCGGGGAAGGAGGTCCTGTCGCCTCTTCGCGGCGGCGTCGCGGGCAGGTCGGAGCCCCCGGAGCCTTTCTTCTTCAGCACCAGCCGAGGCAGAAAGGGCGAGGCGCCCGCCCGCGCTCTGATCCGAGGGGTTAGGATCCCGGGAGGGACGAGGAGGGGCGCAGCCCGCCGCGGCCCCGGGCGGGCGGCGGGCGGCGGGCGGGCGGGCGAGCGAGCA